ATACATGAACCGATTAATTGAATTGTAAGTCCGGGGTTAAATGTTTGTTGGTTTCTATTTTCTAATCAGCCATAATTCAGAATAAACTCTTATCTCTAAGATCATTATGTCTTTCATAAGCAATAAATAAAATAATACAAAAGCATCCTGCCAATGGACAGCAAAGCAACAACCTCAAGAGTTGGTTCAGGCTTAATTGGTGGATACTTCCTCGACCTACCTTCTCCGTACAAATTACCATATAACCACTCACGTATCGATGGCTTTTAGACCTTGATAGAGGAAATTTTAACCTGAGATCCGAAGTTTCTTTCCAAGTTGTACATCATCGCTATGATCTCCACCTTCACCACCCGACTCTTTCTCCATCTTCTTTCTTGCCAGTATTTTGTTAATCTTGTGTAACTCATTGTTGAGCTTCTGATCCTTGTTTTGCTTTCGTGTCTTCCTTCCATCTTGCATCTTCACACCAAACTGGAAAGCAGCTTTTGGCATTGCTTCCTTCTGCTCATTGTATGTTGCCCATTCTTCTTCTGTTTCAAAGTCCCATCGGTGAAGCCGACCCTTTGCCTGTTGAAATCATTTTAATAGAAGCATAAGCATCCCCAATCTGTCAACAAAAACAAAAACAAACGAATAGCAGCATTCAAATTAAGGTGGACAAATAGGCTTACTCGTCCTCCCATATCCATTTTGGACAAATCATCTTCGTCATCACTGTCAACAACCTCCCGGTTATACTCCTGATAACCAGGATAACATTCAGAGTAACTATCAGATATGAAATTAGGATCCTTCTCCCGAGCATCCTTCTCCCTTAATTGCTGAAGCCTTTGGTCGTCACGCTTGAACACAGACCCCAATCCTCGATCCTTCTCTTCTTGAGTCATATATCTTGGATCCTGTGGAATGTTTGATCCCACTTGTACCTCATAAGCTTGCACGTTACCCAGTATGTATTGCTCAGGATAAGCCAATTGCTCAGCGTATTGGTAGTCCTGCCACTCTCCTTGGTATCCACCAGCCAAGGTCTGAGTTTGAAGGGCGTCATAACCATTCTGAAACCAAACAACCAAAAAATCTATAACATTTCAATAGCTAAATATGAACTGAAAAATAATTTTAACTATTCAATCTCCAAAATTTTCTGTAACGTTTTATTTTCAACATTTTGCACACACATTTCTCCTGCATCTAACAATTGAAAATTAAAGACTAAAAAAAACTTACCAGTTCTTGCCATTCCTGAGGAGTAGCAGAAGGTTGGACTGGGCCGTAAGCAGGTTCAGGAAAGTAAGAAACTCTTTCCTTATGTCGAGGGGACTCTTCCATATCCTCTGAAAGAGGGCTTGGGACCGCATCTTTCTCAGGACTATTATAATCAACACCCTCCCCCACAAATATATCATCCTCTTCTGCTCTAGCAAAAGTAGGGCCTTGCTTCTCCTTCGAATCAAGATGATTTTTCTTTGGAAGGGGTGGAGGCGGAGGCAAAATTTCCAGTTCAGTTTTACCATTAGTCATTCCATCATTAGGCTTTGATGACTTTTCTTCTTCATAATATTCACCAAGAGATGAAATCTTCCCTATAATGAGAAAAAAGAAAACATTAGTCAAAAAATAAAAAGATATATTAAGAACAAAGGAAAACAGAAACTAAACTTGATCACTGTAAATTGTTCAAAAAAAAACTTAATCACAATAAAAGCAATACGCAACATATACAGTTGTTGATCCAACACTGAACCCATATTAAAATGTTTGCCTTCAAATTATAATAGACAACTAAAGATAGAAAATACCTTTTACATCTCTTTCCTTCTTTTTCTTCTTGAGAACCTTCCCAGATGACCCAAGGCGGAGATATGACAGAATTTTAGCAATTCGATCAAGCACAGAACCATCAACATTAACAGTAACCATTTCCTGCACAAGAAGTTTGTAATAAGCATCAGAAACACCATCTGGCATAAAAAAAAATCCCCAAATAAATTATGAAACGCAGACATCTGGCACTGGACAGTCAGCTTTACTCCTGTGCAAGGTGGTTGGAATATCATTAAAATACCCACCCTCCTGGGGAAAAACCAAAAAGGAATTTCAGTCAGGAAATTGGAATCATGAGATTAAAAATAGAGAACATTCAACAATGTATAGGCAGTCATGGCTAAAACTTGGCACAATTATTCCATTAACCTCAAATGCTTGTACAGTAACTTCGAAGGAAGTATATAAAATGAATGTTTCTACTTCAAAGTTGAATAAGCATAAAAGCTTTAAGCAACAACTGAACCACCTAAGAACCAAAACCCTGTTGTGTGCAACAGTTATGTGATAAGGAAAATGGCAAATGATACACAGGCAGTCATGCCTTCCCAGGACAACCTATTCAAGCATATGATAATGTGCAGGTATATTTGCAAACATGGACCACTTACACCACTAAATGGTCAAATATCAGGCATGGAGGAGTTTTCATAGCAGCTCTCTTTAAATAACACGAACAGAGTGGGAATGTCTAATATTCTCACCATGTTAAAATAAACGCCATTCGACCAGGTAGAAACATTTCATTTGTCTTCATAACAGTTTGAGGTTTCACTATCCATTGATACACTGACTGGAAACAAATTAAAAGATGTCAATACAAACAGCTCCCTACAGCAATAAAATGAATATTTTTGTAAACTATATTGGAAAAATTATTCCACAAATCAAGATTAAGTTACTGCACCTTAGCAGTGGCAGTTCGAAATGATAATTGCTGAGCTTCTTTTGATTTTCTGTCAGAACAAAAAAATTGCTTATAAAACAATTACAAGATTATTAATTGCACAACTAAAAGATAAAATGGAAATTATTGAAACTTAAATATAATGATAGCCCGTCATCTAACATTAGCGAACATTGTACTGCATATAAGTAATAACTACTTAAGCCTAAAAAATTGACAACATTCTAATAAAATGACATAAAAATTAGGCATACAATACAGAAGCAAATAGTAAACTTAAGGCAAATCTTTGAGCTCTGTACTAACTCTACGAAATGCTGTACATTGGTTTCGACATGAAACCAAAGAAAACTTACATACCTAGACTTTTCATCAGTTTCTTCCTCAGCTTCAGGCTTCTTATCAATCTCACTCCTAACTTTGTTAAGCAAAGCATAATCCAACCCTTTCACAAGATGGGTGTGTTCCACATCACCTGAATGTCGCAGACACCATCAAGATAAGAAAATAAATTGCACGCATCCAACCAATCAAATTATTAATATTTTCAATTTATAACAACAGAAAGCCAACCTCCGAGGTACTTGCTCTTCTCGATAGATATCTTTTGGGCATCAGCTGATCTAAACACATTCATACGAAAATAATTAAATTATTATAGAAGCAGAGCGACTTTGATGGAAAAAAAGTATAGCATCTATTAAAAAAAACTGCATCAAATTAGGGATTTAAGAATAAAGGAATCTCACAGAAGATCGACGGTTCCAGGAGGAGCAACAGCATGAAAGGAACCTAATTCAGTTGGCTCATAATCTGGATTTTGATCCTCTCTTCGCTCCTTAGCTCTGTCTCTGTACTTTGGTTGCTCTGGTTCTTCCGCTTTCTCCTCTCTGCACAATTGATTTCCATCGGAGATCCATTAATTATCTAAATTTGAAGAAACCCATCACATCAAAGATCCAATTTCACGATGTTAAAATAAAACGAAGCATTGGATAAAAAGCAATGTATACACACTTGCGACGAGCGATTTTCTCCTTGTAATATTTCTTCGAAGAAGTCATTGATGACAATTCTTAATTTGTCACGGATAATAAGGACTTGACGCCAGAAAATCAAAAGATTGTAAGAGTTTAGGGTTTCGATCTTTTTAATTTATGTTTGTTCCCTCTGGTCAGGGTTTAGAGGATTTGGGATAAAAGAAGAACGAATTGGTATTTTGATAGAGCCTAATGGAGGAAGGAGTCTTGAATTACACAAACGCCCTTTCTTGGCTGCTTAAGATTTTGCTTCTTTTTCTTAAGGTTTTGTAGTGGGGTTGTTGAATGCTCGCCAAGGGAAAACGCAGCGTTTTATGCTTTCTTTTTCTTTTAGACTAGCTCGATCTGTAAACAATTATCTTCCTAACAATTTTAAAAACTTATAACGACCAAACGTGTAGTGGATAATAAAATTATCAGCTTTCGTATTTAATAAAATAATAACTTCTCAAATACATGAGTTTAATTATAAATAGTTGTCTAGATTATACCTCTATTTTAATTTAAATATTGATTTTTTTTATTAAAATAGGTTTTAAATCATTTTAAGATCGATTTGTTAAATTCGTTAAAAAAATACATGATTTTCTCTGATTTTATTTTCCTACTCTTCCTTCCTCTCTTCTTTCAATTTTCTTTACAACCAAACAGACATTCTGTTTTTTTTCTTTCTAAAATCCAAAAAAAAAAATGATTAAAACAACGAGGAGTGTAAAAAAAGGGTGAAAAAAAAAATAAGGGATGAGAATCCAAAGTTTTTAAATACTTCGATTTTAAAAATTTTCTGTTGGAAGTGAAATCAGATCCCTTTTACGAATCAATTCTATTTTTAGTTGTTTTAATTTGAGGAAACCTAAAATAAAATTTTAAAAATATATATATATTACAAAACTCAAAAACCTATCAATGGCACACAACGATTTTTTAACAGACATAATAGCGTTGTAATGATATCATTTGTTTTTCGAATATAATTAAAATTCTAAAAATAAATTAATTAAACATTTTAAAAAAATATAATAATAATTAAACATTTGTCGGCTGACGCTCCTTGTGAAAAATTCTATTTTCTAGTGACAACGCAAATAAGAAGCATTATTTATTGAATGCAAAAAAAAAATTAACTTCTAACCAACGGTTCATGGTAAATCAACTTCTGTTTTTACCTCGAGCTTGGTAGCCGGAAGAAGTTCTCTGGCACTTTCAAGAACGAAAATCCAACACATAAAGTAAAAGCATAATAAATAACTAGATTCTGAATCTCTGACGACTGACAAAATAGAAACTAACAAAGAACCCATTCATAGCTAATCTTTGAGATGGTTTTGACAAGTCTATCCTAAAATAGCTTCTTGTTATATATCCAAGACATCAAACAAAGAGAAATGTCGCCATGACATGAAAACATGGGGGAAATGACTCCAAAAAAGTCTTCCTTCCTACTCATGAGAGGTTTAACCAAGAATGGGGAAAATACGGGTGATGTGCTCCAATGGAACAGTATCTCCAGCACTTTTCTTCAGCTCAGGATGATTAAATTCGTTCCTGGGTAAGACTATTAGTTGACCCCTGCCATGGCCCTTCTCCAGAATCCAACCACTGTTGGCTGCCTGGTGTTCAAGGAATTTATCCAAGGATAGGCCTTCGATGTTAATAGCCTATTGAGCAACCGAGAAAAACCATAAGTTTGACATATCGCTCATAAGAGGTCTCAAAGCACAACTATAAATGCATAACACATACCTCAGCAAGTACAGGTCTTGGAATCTTTTGATAAGTCAGGGAGAGGACATGGATAGCATATGTCTGGATTGCTTGCTCAAAACCTGCATTCAATCCTCTAGTAAGTCATGCACACAAAACAGACCAATAAAAGAATATAAAACCAACTTGAAATCACATAGGTGGATGTGTTGTTCATCGATGCAAAGGAAAAATGCATCTCATCGCAGTTTATTACCTGGCACGGCCTCAACTATATGACGACTTTTAGCTGCTTCATCCCAGAACTGACGAAATCTTCCTGTCTACAAATGATGCAGGTATAATGAAATCATCCATCTAATCACTGTTCATCATGATACTGAAATATAGCAAATCCATACCTCCAGATAGTGGGATAAAATAATCAGATCCTTGAACTGCTCCTCCATTTGCTGATATGACATACAAAATGTTATTTGTATTGACAAAAACTTACTGTGGAGCAAACTCTTTTACTGCTAGAAGATGGAATGATGACTAGAAAAAAATGACTTTACAATGATTGTGTCTTTGACAAATGAATCTGATGACTAAATAGTCTTCACAGGTCATGGCAAAACATACTTATGACATTAATTACTTATCATGACTAACTCTATAACTTTATATAGAAATAAGCAGGATTTAGAAATTGTATGGGACAGAGACAAATTTTTTCAAGTTTAACAAAGAGAAGAACGCGCAACTTAATATTTATTGAAACGAATAATAAATTTTGCATAATTTTCTGGATTAAAAGAATCTTTAATTTCTCAATTCCCCAGGACGATCAGCTTATTGTTCACGTGTAGAGCAGTGATTTCTTTGAAATCCAGATTGTTATAGTTTAAATGTTAAACAAAACTTGACTAGCCCATAAGCCAAGCCCGACAGCCTATGCCAACACCCATTCAAACATGCTTAATTGCTGGTGTATAAATGTAGTTGAGATGGAAATCTAAAAGGAAAAATATAGGATGAGAATGATACCACTCGCTCTGGAATCAAAAAGAGACAAAGGCTAAAATCTGGAGCTGGCATTGCCATGAGAGCCTGAAAAAAGCAGGATGGAAGGAGGGGAAGATAGCATTAGAAACAACATTCCCTAGCCTAATAATAATCCGGTACATATACTGATTCTGTATAGAGAAGAGCCTAAACATACCTTAACCAAAATGCGAGCAACAATTTGGGTGCTCATTCGGTCAGGCTCAAACTACAGAGACAGAAAATATCATATTAGTGACGACTAAATCAATAGTAACTTTTTAAAACCCAATTTTTGATTCATCAAAACTAGAAATGGTGAGCAATAGGAGATGCAAATCGAAAATTAAACCCTGTAAAAAAGTTACATTCTACAAGAATATAGATACTTGTTGCTATCGCTTCCCTTTTCCCTCTTTCACACACACAGTCAGCCCTAAACAAGAGAGAATATGAGCGAATTACAGTACCTGGTAGAGACGAAGAAGGCAGAGATTTGCTTCCAGACTGTATGTTTGCGATGAAACCTGGCAAAGAAAAATTGTGTAATCATTTTAGCAACATCCACAAAATGTGACTTGCCCTTTTAGGTTCAAACTCAGGACATTTTTTCAAACAGTATTAAGAACATATTGAAGGGGCTGAACCTCTTAATCTCATTAAAACCTAAAAAAGAAGTAAAACATCGCTAATGTTCATGGCTAGGGGATCCTAACAGAAACTCATGGATTCCATCAAGTTTCAGAAGGATCACATAACAATTCAATGTAAGACGCTATCAGCCAATGGTAAGGAAATGTTCCTCATTAGACAGCAATCAATAGCCAATGAAATCAAAGCTGATTCCAACATCATCCGATCAAATACCCAAAGACCCAAAATCCGGATACGTAAGAACTTTAGACCAAACACATAAAAGAACATTTTCCCCCAAAAAAAATATCAGATGATGAAAATCTATAAATCAAATGGATGATTAATAAATATAGAAAAGGACCTGCTCATTAACGAAGTTCTCGAGATCAGGTAGGATGTCGGGATTGTAAGGATTGACGGCCACAAGCTGCTCCACTGTGTAAGAAATCTGTTGTTGCTGTTTTGGAGTTTCTCTTCCCATTCTTATTTTCTTGCTGTTTCTTTGTCAATCAGTAAAGTTGGGAAAGTGGGCGGATAAGGGCCAACGGCTTCGCTTTTTTTCAGGTTCAGCGACGGCAAAAACCCAGAGGCAGGAAGACAGCGAGTAACAAAGGGTCTAATTAGGGTAAAGCCTTTACCTCATCTGGCATTTTCAGCAACAAAACATGTGTCTTATACCCCCCCCCCCCAACCCCCTCTTTACAATGCAGTTCGCCTCATGAAAAGTCTTGGGCAAACTCAAATTACATATGGGCTTTTCCATTATCAAAAGCCCATATTATTGATTAATTTCATCATGTGTTCTCCATAAATAAAAAACGTCAAATTTCAAACCATCTCAACCTTTCAATCTTACATCAAAGTCTATTTCCAGTATACTTGAGACTGTAAGGTGATTACTCCATGCAAGTTGAAAATCGGGTCTTTCTTTTTCATCACCAACCACTTGAAATTTTCCACAAAAAACAACGGTTTATATTTCAATGGTACAAGTTGAGACAGAGACGAGCCATGTTATAGATAGGAGAGACAATGGACTCTAACTTTTGTGATATAATTACTTTTTAAATCATTTATAATTTTAAAATTATTATTATTATTATTATTTGGTTGTCTTTCTAGTTCTTCAAGGTTTTATCTTGACTAATTCAGATCGACTAGTGTCGCACATCTGACTTTGATGGGTGAGTCTCCCAGTGAAGATCTTCCGCATACACAAGATATATTTATGTGATATTAAGTTTCTTACCACTTGAACCAACCTCTGTTAGTAATTTTAAAATCATTATAGTTAATCCTTTGCCCCTTCCAAATTTATTAGGTATAATTATTTTTTAGGGCAATATCAATTTTAAAATTAACGAAATTAAATCGTTAATCTCTTAATTTTTATGATTTAATTACTTATTAGATTATATTTATTTTAAAATTAAACAACTTTATCTCCTTATAGTTCAATCTTGTTTCCGTCCCTAAGTTAAGATAAAAATTGTCGTCTACAGCAAGTTTGGATAAAAGGGTCATATTGTCTCACACTAGGAAGTTCTTTTCTCAAATTTTGGGTCAGCCTCCGACTGAAATTTTGGAACAAATGTGGGGTGTTACTACAAATTGAAAGTGTCTTGAGCGATCTCTGTGTTTAAGAAGTAAACCGCCGAGATATAACGAGGACCAGAGATTTGGTATTCCGATTGAACTTGTACACCAAGTCGGTGGATATTGAGCCCCCACCAGATTTCGTGGGTGAAAGCCATGCAAAAACCAGCATAATAATTGCCTCACGCTACAATATTCAATCTTATTTTTAGGGTAAACTACACGTTTAGTATTCTAACTATTATTTTTGTTATGTTTTGATCATTCAATTATTTTACTTAACATTCAATTTTATTTTCATTTTGATCGCCCGTCATTAAAAAATAAATAGTGATATTGACGTGTCACTATAAGATAATGTCATATCATCACGAAAAAGTTTGAAAAAATACCACATTAGTAACTCTATTAATTTTTTAACTATGGGTGACCAAAATGAAACCAAAATATAATAGTTTGGTGACCAAAACAAAATAAAAGTAATAATTTAGGTATTAAATATAAATTTACCCTATGTTTCGGATAAGACTAGAATAAATATTTTATTTAAAAACATCGAATTTCTTATTAGGTTTAAGCCGGCGGCTAATGGCATTAGGTTTAAGTCCAATATAAAGACAACAAGAGCAAGTTCAGCGATCCAAGTCGCAGCACCGAAAAGGCAGAGAGAAAATGTAGAAATCATCGGGGAGTCGGATTGGTAAGTGGTGACGCTTGGAGTGTAAGAAAAGTCATTAACCAACGACAAACCTAAATTTAACAAATCATTCCCGATCTACGTCCTCACAAACTATAAATATAAATAAACAGCCCACCCAGATTATCATTGGATGTGACTTTTATATGCTACAATAAAAAAGATAATTAATGACCCAACATCTCTTTCATGAGCAACACACCACACAAATTCCTTGAGAAATAAGCTTGTTTATTTTGGATGATGGATGAACCCCATCTTTTCATGCGTTAACAGCACGCAAAACCCTATATGCTTTCAACATAAGATAAATTAGATGACCTTATTCCCATATGTAATGAGATAAGGGGAGGTAGTATAGTAGGTTGTCCCCAATGCCAGATTGAGAGCAACTTCCGTAGGAGACCTCCGAATTATGAAATGCCCTCCGTGGGACTCGATCCCACGAAAAAGTTTTTATTTTTCGGTAATTAGTTTTAAATTAGTATTTACAGTAAATAATTTATTTAAATTATAAACTATTTTTTCATAAAACCATCACATATGTTATATATACTTTATATTTTAATCATCTATAGTTAAGAGTTCAACAATAAATCTTGTGCATTTTTTTATATTTTATACTCTTACGTCATTTTCTCTCTATATGTATCAATAGCATACGTGTTATTATTTATAACGATCAATAATTAAAATAAAAATATAATATTAATAACAATTTTATTAAATAATAATAATAAATCAACGGTACCCAAACTTCGATAAACTGTACCACCAACAATGGTTGCTGAATATTGACAGTGCCACCTTTCTCATTAAAAATAGTCCACGATCGATGTTAACGTTACACTCACCACATGAAAATAAAACCTTATTGAAAATTACTTTTGAACGACAACCATATTGTAAATTCTGTCATAGTCCACATCAGCGCTTCATGCTTGCTGATGTGGAAACATTTGTTTATCGTTCACTTTGTAACAATCGTCACTTCCGGCATTTAGTCATTGCAAAATACAGCCCGGACTTCATTCCTCCTATCATAATCTTTTTTCAATAACGTTTTAAACACAAAACAATTATTTAATGCATCAATAATGAAATTATACGAATTAATAAATTCTATCGAATAATGGACTAATGGGATGTGGAGTTGAAATAAAAGGTGTTAGGTAGACCAAACAAAACTCCCCCAATCAGCTGCAAAGATAGTTGGCCGAGGACTTATCCGTATTAGATTTACCTTGTGGGGCTTACACAACATCATTTTCCAGTTTAAATGTTAACACTGTATTTATTTATTTATTTACTTACTTTTGGACTGTCAGCAAGGAATTATTTTTCATTTTTCATTCTGGTGCATGGTGATTGGTGTTATAGCCTTATAGGCTCAGATACGGAATTCACTCTTCACTTATTAGGGGATCATTTAAAAGTTCAAATTTATTTTGTAGGAAATGAACCGTTATATATTGTTGGAATAATATTTATTTAAAAATTATTTATGTAAATAATACCTTAAAAAGTTTTTTGGGATAATTTTTTTTTTATGAAAATACGTTATATAAATTATATTTTTTAAAATACGCATTCTATAAGACACGTCTTTCTTGACATACCAAAGATTTTAGACAAAAATTTTAGCATATGTATTATTCATGATCAAAATAAGAAAATGATACTAATGGACCAAAATATTAAAAAGAAATGCACATACTATATGGCATGCCTTTGATGACATGGTAGGGATTCCATCAGTGGCGGATGCACTAAGCTCCTATAGGGGACTAAGTGTATCCCATTATTTTAAAAATGTGATTAAATTTAACTTAATGTGTTAAGGAAAAAAATTACAATTTTTGCATACACATTACTTTTAAGAAAAGAAAATTAAAAATTTGAACATCATTCTTAAATTTTTGGATCTGCCACTGGATTTCATACGTAACTTCTAACGTTTTGCGTCATTCATTATCAAAATAAAAGAATAAAATAATGGGTCAAAAATATTTGAAAATTTTACAAACTTTATTCAAAAGGAATAGACATACACGATACATATCAAAGTCACATATTTATAAGAGTTGGCGATGACACGCATGTATAAGTCTTGTCTTCAGTCACTCAACGGGTATGTGATTAAAAGATTACATTTAAATATTTGGAAAAAAATCATATCTAAACAATGTGAAATTTGAAAATCTCCTTATCAAAGCTTGTTGTTTTAGAGTTGTAAAATACAGGTCTTGGACTTCATCAGCCTCATATCAATATAAAAATAAAAAAGAAAATTGTTATCTTTTCAAATATTCAAGATTTCAGTATATAAAACTAACTTTAACTGTTGTATTGTTGAGAGTTTGATAAGTTAAGAGACATTTTTATAAAACAAAATCTACAAATTTTGATAATGAGATTCTTAAATTTCATATTATGTAAATATAAATTTAAAAAATATATGTATATTTAGTAAGAAATAAGACCTACATGTAACATATACATGCCATTGTCTCCATTTGTGTGGCTTTATACTTGTACTGTATATAAATAACTCGTAAGTAAAAATTATTTGATAAAATTACCGGGATCACAGTCCCACCAATGTAATTTTCCAACGGTGGGTGCGTCTCCATTACCACTTTAAATAAAGTCATAATTAATTAAATTAAATTAAATTAAATTAAATTTTGTCCTCCCTGGTTGCCATCAAAGTTTTTTCTTCGTGTATATTGGCACTAATGCGTGAATCCCAATGCATTCTCATTGTTATTTTTTGTGTGCATGGCCCTACAATTTGTTTTTAATAATTACTAGTTTAGTTTTCAGGAATTTTTGTTATTAAAATTTAGGTTAAATTATATATGTGGCCATTTAAGTATTATCCATTTTTATTTTGACTGTCGATTTTTAAAATTTTATTAATTAGACCACTTAACTCTTTAAACATGGTTAATCAAGCTACATGTCATTAATATTTAACAGAAGTATTGATGTGACATTTAAAAAGATTGATATATTTATACATTTGGTCCTAAATAATTATATATTTTATCATTTCAATACTACTTTTAATTCAATTTAATAAATTTAATTATCGTATTATATGATGACATGGGTCACCACTTGGTTAGAGATATTTTTTTTAAAAAAAATTTAATTTAGTTAGTTTGATAAATGTTCACTCTAATTAGAAGGTGACAATTTTTTTTGAACTAATAAAGGTGACAAATTAAAATAATTGAATTTGAATAACGTTGAACAAGCAACCTAAATAGTGAGTTGTGCACTCCTCTACCACTAAGGAAAACCCCATATTGTGCTATATTTTATTACATTTTAGTTAATATATTAACGT